TGTGTACACTGTAGATTTTTCAAAAAACAAATCATATGCAAATACAACATATTTCAACTGAAACATATAACTTTTTCAATTCAAAAAACATTCAAACATGTTGTGGTGAGACTTGGTGACCAAAAAGTCACCGACACCACATTTTTCAGTCCTCGGAGAGCTTTACCAGCTAACCCTTAAGCTAAATGGTTAGCAAATCAGCTAACCACTTAGTAACCTAGGGTTTGTTGAAGTGGCTAACCTCTAACAAACAAGCTAAGAGGTTAGATAAACGATATAAAGTTTATAGAGGTTAGCCTCAAACCTAGAAGTGGTTAGAGAGGTTATAAACCATTACTAGAAGTTATAACCTACTTACTAGAGCTTATAACTAGCTTATTGGAACTTATCTAACCATTTATAACTCTTCTAACCAATAAGATCTTCGCGGGACATCCCAGTAGAGGAACTGCCAAAGCTCAGGTAGCATGGTAGCCCATTGAAGGATAATGTCTACTGGCAGCAATTCCCCGTCCGTTCTAAACGCCCACCTGTCAGAGTGTCGAGTGACGTACCCGAACCACTCATGGTATTGCTTGCGGGCCACCTTAGGTGGGATGTGTGGGAGATGGAAGCGACTACCGAACCGTGCATAGGTGGAAGCACCTAGTTGAGCGACGATGTATTCGGAAGTCTTCCCATAGGCGAGGTTTTCCCGTCCGGGGACGTGCTTCGCCCCGGCTCTGCAACCCCTCCTGCGGGTGCGATCCCCTTCTCCCTGTCCCGCGCTTGAAGCAGCGGCTTCACCACCCTCACTCTCCGGCTGCTGTCCTCCACCTTCGACGTTTGCAGGCTCCGGCTCAACACCGGCTTCAACTGCAGTGGCTTCCAAGGCGGCCTCGAGGTCGTGCTGCTCTTGGATCCGTCGTGCAATGTCTTCGTTCTCCTCGTCCTCAACGGTTGACTCTTCGTCGTCTCCGAGGGGATCGAAATTATTGCTAGTGGTGACAGGCGGGATATGTGGGGTAGACGAAGCCTGTGCAATTAAGCGTTCAGGTGGAACGAATTCTTCAGGCTCGTCCAACGTAGGGACCGGCTGGTCTTGGTCTACGAGGTTGGGGGAATTCGAACCTTTCTCCACCGGGACCGGCGGGTCTTGGTCGGCGGAGGCGGCTTGGGTATTGCCTAACGAATGCTCGGGGTCCGGATGGACTTGATCCGAGGAGTCAGGAATGGTCTCTCCACCAGGGTCAACGGGTGCCGCGCATACAGCAGCAGCACCCTCGCCTGGTGGGTCTTGTCCGTCCCAGTCGACGTCCGGACCGGCGAAGGGCTCCTCTAGTTCGACTTCACGGCGGTCGACCTCAATGTCAGAGAACGGGAATATTGTTGGACCCGAACCTGCTGAGGATGCAGCACTACCACGTTTCGAACTATCGGTGCCCGCGCCTGCGGCAGCGGCTGGAGGATCCAACGGCTCTACGAACAGCTCGAGGGCACTGGCGCCCTGTTCGCCCAAATGGGAGAGCGATGTCACCTCCAACTCCGGAGCATCTACGCCTACTCTTACGCCTAACGAATCCGCGCTTGGAGCAGCGGCTTGCGTTTCGGCAGCTGTTGGCTCGGATCTTTGGTCAGGCGTGGGAGGAACACTTGGCCCTACGGACGAATCCGCGCCGGAGGCTGCGGCTTGCGCCGGCTCCGAGCGGGGAGACCTAGGGGGTGTCACTCTAGGCATTGATGAATCTATTAGGGTCGGACTATTAGAGCTCGTAGGTTGGTTAGACCTACGGCTGATAACCAATGAAAGTGACAAGGGTTCCGGTATATCAGCCCCAAACAGCCACCACAACCTACGGAGTGGGAGGTGTTGGGAAAGGTACCCTATTGTATGGAGAACCCTAGCACGGGATGGGACACGACGAGGGACCCCGGAGGGCTTGGTCCCCGTAGTGTATGGATGGGATGTGAGTTAGGGGAGGGAGCACCCACGGCAACCGACCCGAAACCAAACACAACCCGAAATGCGCGAAGGCACGAAAGCTTGCACGAGCGAACGCGAGCGAACGGCGTGCACGAAAGCTGAAAAGCACGACGGGCGCGCGCTTTTCTTGAGCCATAATGTATCGGTGTGACACGCGTTTGGTTTGACATGTCTGTACAAATCCCTCAACACAGCGTGGCAAGTTAGGGGTCCCCTTTGTGTGGAAAACTTTGACTATTAATGGCATTCCTTGGCTGCCAACCCCCACCAAACGCCACATTCACAATGGGATGTTGAATGATTCTGATGTGGTCATTCCTCTCGACAACCTGAAACCAACACTTCTAGAGCTCTCACCTTTCACCAGCGTGACTGCATTCCCTCCCCCCAAAAAACATCTCTCTCCCCGAACCAAACTCCAACTCCGGTTTCGCCGCGCGGTTTCGCCGCTCTCCCCGCGCCGGTGTGGGAAGACATACATCCAGAACCAGCTGCTACTGGAGGTCACATTGACCACCTCGAGCGGAACCGGAACTCGCTGGTTCGGCCCTTGGCAGACCGATTAGGAGGCCTCTCTAGACGGACACAACAACAAATACATGACATACATCGTCCAATACATATACCTGGAGTCTCAATGTACCCCCGGAAGATGGGTACAAGACTGGGCACCAGTATACCTGTTTTTTTAGGGTATGTCATGTCTCATTTTCTAGGGTGCTTTGGAGGGTCCAGGCATATAAACACAATCATGCATCATCATGCATCTATATCCTTGAAGATGGGTGGCATGCTCGCAATGAAAGAACCAACCTTCCAAAGGGATGATTGCAGCCATCCACTTGAGCTCATCCAACTTTTCATCTCTCATCTCAGTAACATCCGACCCGGTGCACACCGGCTGTGCACCTCCGCCAGGGCCGTGCCAAGGGGGGTTCAACAGGTTCTAACCATCGGTCGCCTGAGGATATGATTGGAGCCCCAAAAAAGGAATGACCTCAGAACCCATCGAAGGTGCTGAAACGGCTCAGTGATGCTCAGTTCCATTCAGGGGAGCGACCCCCATGCGTTTGGGTTCGAAAGCGAACGGTATGTGTCCGCGAAGTGTCTTTGTTGCAAAGAAAAGGTCTTCACTTTAGAGGACCCGAAGAAAAGGATTAGTTTTTGGTTGAGTTCTACCATTGAGTCTCTCTATGGATCCACTGCCACCCCTGAGATGCAATGGCGTCCTTAGGCATCAAGTCGTACCAAACCTGAGAAGGAATGTGGATCCCTATAGGGAGCAATCAAACTTGACAGAGAAGTAAGACCAAAGAAGCTTCCTCTGAAGAAGTTTCCCTCATGACTCAGTAGCATTTTAACCTCATTGAACCTAAAACTGATGGACTTCCCCCAATCCAGCCACCAACCCAGATCCTTCCACCAACTCCGTTACCCCTCAACAATCAATCTAGTGACTCTAGTGAATCTATTGTTTTGGCACAACGCCTTCATTCCACCTGAAACTCTCTCCTCTACGTGATTCTACGTGTCAAATACACGCCCAACTTGGTACGTACCTGTCTCCCAAACTGTTTACATGACCCCAAGCTTCACGCCACACCATCCTACAAAGGTGAAGTGACCTGAACGTTCGGACCCGTCACCAGGGGTACCGAGAACTAGGCCTATAGGGATAGTCGAACGTTCGGCTTCTGACCCACCTCTGGATGCCCAAACATCCCAACGAAACATCAGCGAACCCGTCCGCCGTCAACAGCGGTGACCAACCCGTCCGCGAAGGGACCTCCCACCTGTGCTGCTCCCAGGCGATCAAGGTGACGCCAAAACGGCCACAAGCTCCTTGGGGATCGCGTCGCGCCCGCGTTCGACGCGAGGTTCAGAAGCAAAGAATCCAACGAGTATGGTCGCGTGGAGGCACAGCAGGCACGTTTGGGTGGTTCTTTTCGACACCCCCCCTGACTTGGGTGGTTGTTTTGGGGGTGTCCTATTACCTGTAACAGTCGGTGAAGAACTTTCACTATGCTAGAGCTGTCTGCGTTTACTAACCATCATCATCTATTGTGAGTAAGGAATAGGATATACCCCATGTATTCTCCTTCCAAAAACAACCCAGAATGGGTGGTGCTGGCGTGAGTCTAGTCTGTTTGAAAGATTGTCCTGAACTTGATTGAAGGACCTTTTTCGCGGGTTGGGCGTTGAGTGGATTTCCAGGGTTTGGTTGATTCTTGTTCAACTGGTTGATGGTTTTTGTTAATGAATTTGGGATAATTTGGGTGGATTTGGGAAAGGAACATCGGGAGTTGTGGATCTTTGATGGATGGGCTGCCCGTGGGGGAGAAGAAACTAGATTCATTTGTCAAGTCTTCAAGTTGCTGCAGCAACAAGGCTGACACAGTCACGCAGTGACGCCCTCAGCGCATGCGAAACAGGAAGTCCTGGAGCTGACCATCCATGTGAATATTTACCAAGAGAGGTTGACTGAGTGACCTGCAGGACCCGGAAAACCTGGGGGACCTCGGGATAGTCGGGTTCTGAAAAACCTCTGTTGGTACCTGCATTGACCTGACCCCGGAAAACCCCGAAGAAATGGGCATAGCAAGCTGTGCCCATGGGATTGCTATAGGGAAGAGGGGCCCGTGGATGGCCCATGGATTGCCAGTGACCACTCTTTCCACTCTTAGTGGAGTAAAAACAAAGCTTCTACTTGGAAGTCCAGGACACTCAGGACACAAAGGGTGAGCTTCTGCAACTTGCTCCTGCTGAAACTCCATCCCCAAGTTGTCCAACTACTTCCGCACTGCTGATGTCAGCACAATTTGACATCACACAGTCTTTTGTGCAACTGTTTGTGCACATTTGGGGAATCACACAGACACATGCTGTTTCTCTTCCACAGCCACTTTGTTCAAGCAAAACCAAGCAGTGTTGGATTCATCTGACTTTGCCATCTGGTGGCTGCTGGTCAACTCCTGATACACCTAGGAAATCCAGCTGGTCCACGAACTAAGAGCCTCTCACAGGCAGGTTTCTCCGTGGCACATGACCATGGCACATGGGTTCTTTCGAGGTGTTTTCAACCCGAAACATAGTAGTCAGAGGGTCCAATCATCCCCAAGTAACGGTTCAAAAAAAAGGTATAAAAGTATCCGAAACCATCACCTAGTACTGGATGTTTCTTCCACATCATTCCCTTTTGCATTCGACTTTGATCCCGCACGATGTCACAGATTCCCACGGTGCGCCAACTGCCAAAGCTGCGTTAGGCTCCGCCAACTCCGCGCTGGTCGCAGCAAAGCCTGGTCTCTCACAGGCGAGAATTGATCACTTCCAGATTCCAAATCTTGAATCTTGCATAGATTCTTCATGGCAAATACTACGTCATATCACGTCATAATCCAATCTATAGTGATTTGCTGATTCAAGACTCAGGGCCAGCCCAAATATTGTATCCACCAGGAGTGCAACAACCTCACTTCACAGGTGCACTTGATTTTTTTTCTTGGGAAACGCCGTGGTTCATCAGGCATCAGTGGGTTCATCAGCAACCGTTTATGGCCGCGCTTGTGCGGCATGCCAAACGAACCGAGGAATGTGGTCGTTCCGCAGGTTCGTCGGGGATCGCTCAAAAATGGTCGTCTAGACTCAAGTTTGTTCCTCTTTCCCTATGGATCCACATACCCTCTTTGCCACCCTCTGGCCATGGGGAAGTCATTTCAGACCGAACCTGAGAAGGTTCTGGTCTGCCTGAGCAAACATGGATGAAGCATCAACATGGGGTGCTGCCACTATAGTATAGCAGTAACCGACTATAATCATCATGCCAGGTTGCAAGCTGTGGCCCAGCTTTGGCCTTATTGATATTGTTCTGCAAATGTTTGGGTACAACATGGTCCAACTACAACAAACCAATCCTGATTAAAACCCAAATAAAAAAGGTGCAATTCCTGGCATACGCTCCGACTCTCTCTCTCTCTGTCTCACATGCAACGTCCAAACTCGGACCAGTCAGACATCGCTCGCTTCACACGTTAAATCCGAGATCTTCAAGATCTCCAAAGCTTCCAAGGTTTCTTAAAGGTTTATTACTGACAATAGCAGCAGTGGCATTAGCAGCAGCTTCGACACGTCCACTCATTTCTATCTATATGAGAAGTGGCTAAGGCTTAGGATGCTATATGTACCAAGAGAGGTTGCAAGTACCTATATAGGCTATCTCATATGTACCACAAAGCAAGGTCCTTTCCGTTCAGGTCTCAACAAAAACCTCTCTTGGTACATAACCCCGCGAACCCTGGAGACCAGTTTAACGAGTACACATGATAAAACAATGGCTCAGGGTAAGAGTTCCTGTCGGACTCGCAAGAAGTTCAGCTCACGTGATCTAGCCACCGACATCCATCGACAGACCTCACGGCCAAACCAATCAGGTCCCCAACAACACGTCACCTGTCCTCATCAAATGGTTTTTTAGGGGAAAAATCTGCGGGGCAACCCATGTGTTCATCCCCCCAAGCTGTGGCGTTCCTAGTACGAGTAGAGTTCTTCTCAATATATACAAACGTATAAACGCATCATGGCTATATACAAAGTTATGTACAAATTTTACAACCATATAATATAACTTATAGACCATTTCTGAAAATGGTACAACCACGCCGCTTCATTTGCGCCGGCCTCCGCACGAGACAGCAGGATCTCCACGTCCTCCTCCTTCGGTTGCCTGGCCGATCGGCTTCAGCTGGGCTTCTCCGCTTCGGCTCGCTTCCAGATTCTATAGGCCTTAAGAATTGAAACTGCATGGAAAACAGGGGAAACCCCGGGTCCATTGGCACGAGTGTGTTTTTGAGGCATAGCGACAATGTCTCTTCTGCCTCGTTTAATGCAAACCCTGTTTTTGACAAAGGTGCGCTGACCATGAGCCAAGCAATGTTGGTCCAACTCGGGCTGGATGATTCCGTCCTCCCTTATATCAGCCTCGGATCGTGAGTCCTGCGCAACGGTGTTGGATACGTCTTCCTGAGTTTCCCAACGGCCGTAAGCGGAGCCGTGCACCATGTAGTTTTCAAGGTCGTTCAAGATGTAGTTTTCCGTTGGCACCAAATCATGATCATAGTTTGGATTGAAGGTTCGCGTTCGTTGATCCTGATCAGCCGTAAAGTCCTCAGGCTGTACCAGCACCTCGCGTGCCAGCAGCTGCCCCTTGGGCGTGGCCGCGCCAGCTTGGCGAACGTCCATGATCCGCTCAAGAATATATTCACGCACCTGACGCCTCGAAAGTCTCGTCGTATTCTTTGACGAGTTTCATATAACGTTTGTCAACATCACTTCGGGTGCAATCTTGTTGATTGTATACCCGTTTGAGCTGACAGTCGTAATCTGTCCCTTCCAAGCACGCAGTACTGCAGTACCCTGCCCAATTCCGGGAGGAACTTGGACGTGGTCTGGGAACTCATGACTGCCCACGTTCGTGCTTCCTGTTGTTGCTCCAACTACTTTGCTGCTTGGCAGGAAAGCACGTCGGTCCACGAAACCGCTCGCAGCAAAACGTGCGACGCCGCGCTCTTCCTTTTGGTGCCACGTACCACGTACTGTACATGCGACCGCGGTCGCCGTGTGCGAGAACCGGCGGGTTCGCTGCGTTCCGGGGGTGGATGCCCGACCCGCCGAAGCATCAAAAGCGTCTCCAATCACAGTCAGGTGTTCTGAACAGGCGTGCTTGTCTGACAGACTTTCGAGTTGTTGTTTCATGACGTTGTCAACAGAATCCTTGGCCGTTGCAGCAAAAGCATCGCACATGATCTGTCACATCGGATGCCATCAAACGTCAATCCAGCTCACAAACACATACTTGGATTTGCTGTCCAGGAACCTGGATAAAAATACACATATTCCCCGGGATAATTAGTAAAATAAAACATCACCATGATCCGCAACACCTGTTTGTCAGCAGTGCGGTTTTTTTCCGGTCTCCAGATCCCCGCAGAGAGGGAACACCTTGGCACCCTGAGGATGGTTTTTGGTTGCGAACATCGCGCCCAGGTGACGAAGCACCAGCCTCTCGGGCAGGGTGGAGGTGAAGTGATAATACCTGCGCTTCGCTGGTCGCCTTCGATCGCCTCACCGTCGTTGGAGAGACGGACGTTGGAAAACGACAAGTCGACGACTGCACCTGACCGGTAACCAAAAACAAGACGTCGAATGCATGGGGTCAGTGAAACTGGGGTCATCGGTCCCATTGGTGTCCTTTTGTCTTTACCAACTGTGCTTTTTTGGTTGTCCACACTGGGGTCCATGTACGAACAGCATGACAGCGCTTATATAGCGCTTTTATAGCGCATGACAGCACGACCGAACATGAGTCGGAACAGAATGAGCAGCGGGCGGCCCAGCACCTGATCATGCCTGATCAATGGTTATCCATAGTAGCCTCATCAATCTCGTAGCCTGATCTATTCCTAGGGCTCCAACCATATCCTCAGAAGGTGGTTAGACCCCCATGGCACCCACCCCAACCATCTCAGGAGGTACTTGGAGCCCTAGGGTATATAGAAGCCAATCAACCACTGAAGGCTGCAGAAAAAACAGATTCGATCCAAGGAGAACATTGCAAGCCGTTGCTTGAGGCTTCAGGATCTTTCCTCCAGTGTCTGGGACACTACTTCCACTTCTCCCGGCCCTCAACTTTCGTCGGTAGGGTTCATAAAACATGCTCTACTCCACCCACCTCACACCCCACGCGTTTTGCAAGTGTTGGCATGAAAGATCATGAAAACTATGGAGGTCAGAATGTTGATGGTTTGTACTGAAAGTCTTTCATCACTAATCAAAACCTTTGATCCATTTTCACTATCCTCTTACAGCTTGGCTGCCTGTACCGTAGGTCCTTTGCTAAGGGTTTTCAATATATAATCTGATTGATGGTTTAATAAGAAGTGTGGCTGGAACTTGCAGGGACGGACGGCAAAGAAAACATGTACGACATTGTATCACCAACATGTTCTGTGTGCACACCAACAGCCAATATCATATCAGTCAAACATGTCCCCTCACACCCAGGTCCTTAGAACTAGTCATAGACTCAATACATACGCCCTGGAAGAGACCCACATGGAACCTGAAAAAAAAAAAACACTCGGCATCGGGTTGTAGAGGAACATCGTCTTCCAGTCAGGTCCATGCGGGTTCCGTCTCAAACACCGGATGTATCACATCGCAAAAATCAGAACCGGCCCTATGCTGGCCTCTACTCTCCGTCTCTCCGTCTCAGAGCTCCGCACATGTGCCGCATTTGACATAGGGCGGCAGCCTCCAGTGCCCCGTCAGACCCACCTGGCCTGTTGGGCTGTTGCCACATGGTGGTTCGCAGCTGGTCCGCCAGCGCCACCAAGGCAGACGCCGTGGCTTCGGGGCAATCGGCCCGCGCCTGTGCCGCTGGTCATTCAGGCTGGTCATGGAAGAAGAAAGAATCCGTAAATCGACTAGGATCGAGATGAAGTGTCGCTTTCTTGGTGGGTTTGCATGATGCTTTTCATCCAAAAACCTTTGTACTCCGCTTTCAGATTCTGTGTTGAAAAGGGTGTTTTTTCTCCCGACATGTGTCCAGTCTCGACGGAGGAACAACCAGCCCCTTTCTGGATGGGTTTCCCTCCCGGGCATACGAGGGCTCTTTGGGTCATATTGGGTCTGACATGCCAGGGCCCGAACTTGGGATGATGATGGGGCTGAGGCCGTTGCAGGCCGACATTGTTTACTGACTGTTACAAATAAGAACGGACAGACCCACCTATGGGGCTGATTCTGAACTCTGGAGTGGCCAAATACTCCACTCGATTGAGCAGTTTTGACAACGATTTAAAATCGATTTGAGCATATCTTTCAAATCGATTGGAGAATACTATGCCAAAAACTTGATGTGTTGCCATGTTCCCCCTGAGTCCCGCCACACATGGAAGTGCGTGTACATCTGGGTGGCGCTAGATGGTGGACCTCAAAAACGCTTCAGTTGCATGTTGTCACACAAATTCTGGGTTGCGTTAACAATTCGGATCAATTCAGCGTCTGATACTTGCAATCCAAGAATGAATCGGTGTCTGATACAGCAATCATTGTTTCCATCTACAAACCCCCGCGATTGCGACCATTTTGCGGTTGACGTGGTCTGGAAACCATGCCTCCAAAAGCAACGAGGCAGCATGATGTGTTGAGACCTCAACGAGGCAGCAAGCTCTCCGTCTCTGTGGAGCTCTTCGGCCGTCAAACAGTAGGCTCTCAGTCAAACAGGTAAGGCTAAGTGTTCCTTTACTGAGGCATCTCTTAGGGTTTGCCTGGCGCAAACCTTTTTTTGTTGCTTGTACATCATTCCTGGCACAAAGGGGTTCCCATTCTTCTGGTTGCCGAAGACGCCCCGCCATTGCTCGCTTCGCACAATTGTGGCCGACTTGGGCCGACTTTGTGTTGCTTCTTGGGCCGACTTTGATGCGCACTCCACCTGGGTTTCCCCAGTCCCCACCAGAAAGAAATGGATGGAACGAAACCCAGTCCCAGCCATTTCCGTAAAGGATCTCGGCAACTTGCCATATTGGAACAACCATTTGTTTCTGGTTGGGACTGGGGTTCCAGGCAGGTATCTCCTCACCCATTAACCGGCGGTGTCGCTAGGCAGGTATTTGCAAGGTTAGCATCGTTGCACGTAAGGTTCGTGAGGGAAGTGGTGTGGCCAATGATTTGATGTTTGAACATGTAAAATTCTCCAGTATCGGTAAATAGACGTCTACGACAAGCTGTGGTTCAGCAACCAACATTTGAATGTACTTCCTTGAGTCTCGAGTCATGTGTGCCGGTGCTTGACGCATCCCAACCACTGCTGAGATGAGAAGGGATGAAGGGATGGTGCACACACAGTCCTGTGGCCATTTGTTCAACAAACCCTGGCCTGGTTGCTTCACGTTCTCAACATTTGACTGAAGCTTGTTTCCCAAACATCACTCCATGTCTGGCATAGAAAATTGTCCACCATTGGGGTGGTCAAGAATTCAGGGCGGAGCGGCATGTATTGGATGTATTCCAGACCAATTCTGGAAATATCTGCAAATTGTACGGAGACATGCCTGTTCAGTTCATGTGGTCCATGCCTTTCGGATTGGTCGACCGAAGACCAATCCGAATGGTTCAGTGCCAAAGCACCACCAAGCAGCTCCACACAAGCGCTGTTGTGCATGTGGTAGCTTTCTATCGGATCAAAAGGAATCAACCTACCTGGACCTGACTTCAAGTAACATGGGACATGATCCAAAACAACAGGCACTGCATATCCGATATCCCATTTAGCGAGGTATACAGGTGGACTCCAGGCATTTATATCACAAAAAAATACATACCTCACCACTGAATCCCATCCATCTCCAATCATTTGGGCCCCTCCCCAGACCTTTCCACTGGCACCCAGACCGCGCCCAAACCGTTTCCTCACCAACCCACCGTTTCTCCCAACGCGGCGCGTGCCGAGCGTCCGTGTCACTCGGAATGGCGTGCCACCGAGCGTCTGCAATGGCGTTGTCGAAGGTCTCCACGAAAGGTGCCAACTCGGGGGACTCGCATCTCCGGTCGCCTGACTGCGGTCCCGGGCGGTGGCGGAAACCGTCGACAGCGGGCGCCTGGGATGGGACAGTGGGCGCCAAAGAATCGTGGCAGAATCGATCGAAGTCCGCGATCTTCGGACCGCCTGAATTTCGTATGGCAGCATTTGCCGAGCACATCGTGGTTTGACAATATTTCTTAAAACTACCTTGACTAAAGCGGAGACACCAGAAACCATGACTTTCAATAATATCTTCTCTTCAAACATATCAGCTGCATGTTGCGCAATCTTTGACTTTCATCAGTTCAGTTCATTGACTACTTCATCTTCACATCGTGGCCAGGGAACCCGCCTGGCCAAACAGATCAAGTCAACCATACCAATCGAACTTCTGGCCCTTGACCTACGTGACCAATCGAGGACCTAGAGTCAAGGCCCGACTCTGCGACCTCAAACCAGAACATCGACATGAGCAAGTTGAAGAACCACGACAGGTACTTCATGACCAAGAGGAGTGGTGGGATGGTTCTGGGGTATACATACACCTTTCCTGGTACCGTGGTGGTACATCACGGGTACCTTCCAGCTAAGCCTTAAATGCCGGAAAAGGATCGTTTCTCAGAGTTTTTTTCATCGTTTTTGTCGGAAGTGTGGAAATTCCTACACCTCTCAAAAGCGGAACCGGACAAATGTAAATTATGGGCTGGAGAAACTAGGCAACCGGACTTGGAGCGAGAAAATGCGGAGATGGGGCGAGAAAAAGCGGAGGTGGTGCGAGAATGTGGGGCGAGAAAACCCGGAGGCGTGGAGGAGTCCCCATGAGGTGCGAGAAAAAGCGGAGAGACCCGGAAAAATGCGAGAATCCACGGAATTAGTTTGTTTTTTTGGGTGAAACTGGAATTCCTCAACTTTTGGCTTCGCTGGTTTATACAATCAGCACTCTCGCGGTGGTACTTGATGTCCACTGGTACCGTGTTCTGCGAATGCTATGGCATCTCTTACTCGAGATGCTATGTGAATGTATTCACTGGAAACAACTACCTGGCGTACCTGAAGTCGACCTGTATGTGCCTTAGGAACATGGGAACCAAGTATACCTGTTGTCCCATTTTCTACAGTACTTTGGAGGGTCCAGGTACTTTCTTGGGTTCACTCTTTGTTTTGGGACAAAGCTCGCACGTGGTTCTACAATTACACCTTCATGGTTCTACAAACGACCTTATATAGGGATTCAACCAGGCCCGTGGATGCCAACCAAAATGGTTTCGGCTACCCAAGAACCTTGACTCTTGTGCAACCAACATATTGACATATGGCTTTGGCCTGCTCTCAATCTGCAGCAACAACCGATCTCCCCGGGAACGCCTTCATCGCGCACCCGTTCGGAGACCTGAGAAGAGAATCCACCGGGGTTCATGTCCCGCTCGGGCCGCTCGGGCTGCTCGGGCTCCCGTCTGACCACCTTCTTTTGGGACGTGGGCCAGGAGTCCGAACGGAGTTGAAAATTGTAGTGTAGGTACCATAAATAACTATATTGGAGCTCGTGGCCGCCCGCCGAGTCCTAGAGTAGAGACCCTCTACACGGCATGCCTTTGAAATCAACAGAAAGTCCGTAAAGCCCACAGCTGGTGAACCGGTGGGATTGGGCTCAACCAACTCAGCTGAGACATCCAAGGAGACGGAACCCTAGCCATCAAAGACCAGCCAAAAAAATGGTTACGACCTGGTTCCGAAGTGTAAAATCCTCTGAGAAAAACACAATGGCTCTGTGGGATTCAGACAATTAACTCCGTTGTGGTTCGATTTCTATAGTGATAACATACAGGAGGTCCACGTCGCTCTGTAAAAAACCACTCCTGGTGTCGTCTCCGTTACTAGACCTCTGGACCACCAAGGTCCAACGCTGAGAGAACACGTCCAGTTCGAATCCTCCTCCAGCCCTGAAACCCTACAGTTGGCAGGTTAGAGAACAGGTTTTTCACCACCCTAGAAGGGGTCGGACCCGCACCTTCAGTAGATAGAAAACTAAATCTCAACAAACAATATGTTCCGTGCCACTATCTATTTGGAAAACGATCACTATATTCCCGAAAGCATTGCGAAGGGTTCTTCCGGAAAATCCCTTGAACACTGACACTTCGACACTTACACTTACACACTGACACTTCCACCACATTCGCACTACATACACTGACACTTCGACACTGACACTTACACATACACACTGATACTCGGCGAGCACGCAGTGTAAGTAAGCAAGTGATGGGTACGCAAGCATGCAATGAGCATGCAAGCATGCAATGAGTAGGTACGCAAGCATGCAATGAGCATGCAAGCATGCAATGAGTAGGCGAGTGTGAGTATGGAAAACTAGCACGGGAGATGTCCTAATGAAAAAACATTTCCCCACTTTATAAATTCTCTCTTAAAGGCGGAGGGCGGGACGAACAGCGTCAACCGAAAGTGCAACCCTCTGCGGAGATCGTGCGTGTCGAGTGCGCGAAATGCAGGCGAGAGTGCGATTTGCCGGCTGCCCGCGCAACCCTCTGCGGAGATCGTGCGTGTCGAGTGCGCGAAATGCAGGCGAGAGCGCGATTTGTGAAATCACCGCGCGACCCTCTGCGGAGATCGTGCGTGTCGAGCGCGCGAAACGCAGGCGAGAGTGCGATTCGAGCGGAGCAAGCTGTGGAGCTGGAAGCTGAGAACTGGCGACTTTGTAGTACAACTTTAGTATGCGGAGGAGCTGGGGAGCTGGAAGCTGAGGACTGGCGACGTGGTAGTACGACTGTAGTACGCGGAGTAGCTGGGGAGTGGGAAGATGAGAACTGGCGACTTGGTAGTACAACTTTAGTACGCGGAGTAGCTGGGGAGCGGGAAGATGAGAACTGGCGAGTGGGTAGTACAACTTAGGGCGCGGAGTATCTGGGGAGCTGGGAGATGAGCACTGGCGACTTTGTAGTACGCGGAGTAGCTGGGGAGCTGGAAGCTGAGAACTGGTGACTTTGTAGTACAACTTTAGTACGCGGAGCAATCTGTGGAGCTGGAAGCTGAGAACTGGCGACTGTGTAGTACAACTTTAGTACGCGGAGTAGCTGTGGAGCTGGAAGATGAGAAGTGGCGACTGGGTAGTACAACTTTAGTACGCAGAGTAGCTGGGGAGTGGGAAGATGA